GAACACATTTCTAGATTATCTTTGCCTTTTTCTTTTTCTTTTTGTCTTTCTCTTTCTTTCTTTCTATATTTGTCTTTGACATTCTCTCACCAAACACATTTTCCCTCTCTCTTTAAAGAAATATATATGTATATAAATTTTAAAAATCTCCCACTGAATACCCCTTCCTCTAAAAAAAAAATGAATAAATAAATGCATGAATATCTAAAAAAAAAGAAAAAAGAATAAAGATATCTTTTCACTTATACAACCCGTCAACCTCTTTGGCTTTGCACGTCCTAACAGCCCCTAATGTTGCAGGCGGTTGAGCTGTGCATGAAGAGCGGTGCAATCATTTCAACACAACAGGACGACCGATCAACGCCAGTGCATCTTGCCTGCTCTCAGGGCGCCATCGAGATAGTGAAGCTGATGTTTACGCTGCAGCCTGATGAGGTGGAGATCTAGTTGTTGTTGTTGTTGGTGGTGTGGTGAAGTGGAGATTTGGTTGTTGTTGTTTTTGTTTTATTGGGGGGAAGGGGGTTATTGGTGTTGTTTATGATGTATTTCATGGTGTTATTATCATTATATTTGAGTCGTCATGATTATGATGATGGTGTCACCCTTTCGAATCACGCCCCCTCAAGATATTATACAATGAATCTGATAGAAAAGTCCCCTTAAATCACAACACAAACCCCTAAATCCACCATAGCACCTACGCCTAATAATCTACAACTTAATCCATCATAACATCTCCGTCTAATCATCTACAACTTGTCTATTTTTCCTCCTCAAAGAAACTGAAAGCTTTGAGTACCTTAGACGCCCAGGGAATGACGCCCCTCCACTGCGCAGCCATGTTCGACCATCCGGAACTCGTGGCGTATCTCATCCAGGAGGTGGGTCCGGGTGGGTGAGTTTGTGGTGGGTGTGTGGATGGGGGGTGGGTGTGGGTGTGGGTGTGGATGGGTGTGTGTGTGTGGATGAGTGGATGTGTGAATGGGTGAGTGTGGGTGTGGGTGGGTGGGTGTGGATGTGGATGAGTGGGTGTGTGGATGGGTGGGTGTGGGTGAGGTGTGTGGGGTGATGGGTGGGTTTGTGGGGTGTGGGTGGGGATGGGTAAGTGTGGGTAAGGTATAGGGGTTTGTGGGTGGATGGGTGGGTTTGTGTGCCTGTGAGTGTGAGTACATTGGACATACATCTGTATGTGAATATGTGCGTGTATATATCCTTGTGTGTGTGTGCATGTACAGTACACAGACAAATAAGAGAATCTACATTACACATACAATCGGTAAATTTATGATACTAATACAGATCTTGAATAACCTCAACCATCCACCTCCCTTCACCTTCTACCTCCTTCCACCTTCCTCCACCTTCCTCCACCTCATTTCACATCTTTCCCCCCTCCACCTTCTTCCACTTCCCCCCCTCCCTCCACCTTCATCCACCTCCCCCCACCTTCTTCCACCTCCCCACCACCTCCCCCCCACCTCCTCCACCTCCTTCCACCCTTGCCCCTTGCTACCAGGGCGCGGAAGTCGACCAAGTGGACCAGGAAAATCGCTCCCCCCTCCTGCTGGCGGCGTCCCGGAGAGGCTGGCGCACCGTGGACGCCCTCCTCGCTCACGGCGCCGACCCCACCATCCGCGACTCCCACCTGAAGAACCTGCTGCACGTCGTCATCATGAACGGGGGCTCCATCAGCGACGTGCTCTCGCTCAAGCAGGCCAGGGACACGCTGGTGAGGAGAAGGGGTGGGTGTGGGGGGGGAGTGGGGGTTATCATCGTCGTTGTTGTTGATGTCAGTATCGTCATTGGTGGTAGGTTGTGAGTGGTAGTGGTAGTTGTGGTACTGGTATTAGTAGTGGTAGTGGAATTAGTTGTGGTAGTGGTAGATAGACAGAAAGATAAATATACAGACAGATAAATGAATAGATAAAGGTATACTTATACATGAAGACATAAATAGATGGAAAAATCTAGATTGGATAAATAGATAGAACTGAAAAAAATGACAGAAGGATAGATATACAGACGAAGAGATAAATGAATATACAGGAATGTATAAACAAACAGATAAAAGGTACATAAAAGGATGAATTAATAGACAATTCGATGAGATGATGTGCAGAAAGGCATGAATAATCAGATGAATACAAAAAAGATTAAACGCATAGAGTAGATGAAATTATAAACAGAGGCATAGCTACATGAATAAACACCAATGAAAGAAAAAGTGTATATAGACTAACAAACAGAAAAACATAAAATAAAAACAGATAAACATCAGTAAACGGAGAAAATGGGGACAGATATGAGACGAAAAGATCAAACACAAAAAAAAAAAAAAAGCCAAAAAGCATATAACTCCACAAGCATCATTATCATATCACTGCATACTTGTATAGAAATGGATAGATTATTAGACAGATATACAAAAGTACATATGAACAGATACACGAAGAGATACTCAAGGGAAGGAGATAAATAATGAAACAGGTAGATGAAACGA